TGATGCGTGCCGTATTATAAACGAGCTGAAGAAATTAGAGAAACTGGCAGCCATCATCAACAAGGTTGTTTAATTTTTAGCATTTGCGACGCTCGTTCAAGACACAAATCTTCTCTGCTGCTAAGCCAATAGAGGCAGTGGCCCTGTTTCTCATATCCATATCCGCATCGGCTATCGCTGGCTCAGACTCGACCGGCCGTCCGACTGCGTCTATGTTGAAGATAGTCTATCGCCGCGCCACTCTATAGCGATGCAATCTGCGGCATTGCGATCGCCAGTACCTTCGCGAAGCCTCTTGCGATTCCTGCGCTCGCAGTCGGAGATTGCCTTCTTCAACTACAACTGCGGCCATGTCTGTCGAAGCCGAGCGACGAACGGAGCCTCAGGCCAGCGAGCCTTGAGAGCGCAGTCGACCGCCCTCGGCGCCAGTTCCAATTCTAGCCAGCCGATTCTTTATACAGAGCTTGAGTCGTCCATTTTCAGTCTGGGACAGCTACAGATCGGGCGAGCGGTGCGAAGAGCCTGCGCGAAAACGCTGCAACGGGAGTCGTTTTATACCTCGACGCCTGCGCACCAGAAGACGACCGATGCGAATACGGCGCCATCATGGCAGGAGAGGCTCTGGGGTATTGGAGTGCGCAAAGGTGCCAAGTCTCTGAAACCAGACGATTTGCCTTCGCGCGATGACATGGACCACGGCTCATCCATGTTCAACAATCGGCGGATCCTGTCTGCCAAGGCAGCGCTGGAGCCGCGACTACGTTGTACAGAGGTCGATGAGAACGGCAAGGTGATTCTGATGGATGGCGAGTTCAAAAAGACGGAGCTGATTGCAAAGGTATGTTATATGTTACTAAAGGAGGATTCTTGGCCGTGGTTGTGGGAGTGGTGATGTGCTAACCATATCATGATATCAACAGTATGGGTTACTGCCCCGTGATTTGCGCAAAATCGACTCATCCAATCTCCCCCATATCCTCGTTCGCCCGTCAGCCATTCTGCTGAATCTACTACATCTGAGGGTCCTCATAAAGCGTGACCGCGTGCTACTCTTTGACGTCTACGGCTCCAAGACGTCTTACCCGCAGTCTGCCTTTATGTATGACCTCCAGGGCAAGTTGCAGCAGAAACCCCCGCCTGGCGTGGCGGGGCTGCCCTACGAGTTCCGTGCTCTCGAAGCTGTGCTGACATCGGTTACATCTGAGCTGGAAGCGGACTTTGAATCCGTGCGAGAGCCGGTTATGCGCATCCTTAGCGAGCTCGAAGACGACATTGACCGACAAAAGCTGCGTCAGCTTTTAATCTTGTCCAAGCGAGTTAGCACGTTTGAACAAAAGGCCAAGCTGGTGCGGGACGCCATCGAAGAACTGCTGGAAGCGGATGATGACTTGGCGGCCATGTACCTGACAGAAAAAGTACATGATTTGTACAGGAGCACCGACGACCATACGGAGGTTGAGATGCTGCTCGAGTCGTACCATAAGCTTGCAGATGAAATCGTACAAGAGGCCAGCAATTTGGTGTCTGGCATCCGCAATACAGAGGAACTGTGAGTTTGACAGATATTTTATCTTGTTGTCCATACTAATTGTTTGTATGACAGTTCTCGAGCTATTCTCGATGCCAATCGAAACGCTCTCATGCTTTTGGAGCTCAAATTCAGCATTGGGACGCTGGGACTGGCAATGGGCACATTCATTGCTGGACTGTACGGCGCCAATCTGGAGAACTTTATCGAAGAGACCAACTGGGGTTTCGGTGCGGTTACGGCCGCATCGACAGTCTTTTCCCTTGTAGTCTGCTGGTACGGACTGGTCCGGCTGCGTAAGATCCAGCGCATCAAGATGATAGGCGGCGAGCGGCCGCGGCTGTCGCGGGGCCAACCATATTACGACGACGGTGCGGCGCTTGGCATCCTAGACTCGAGGAACAGAGAGCTACTGCTGCGGGCGCACATGCAGAAGGCGATTAATAACAGGAAGAAATGGTGGTTCTCACGATGAGAAGGGCGCGCACGAATAGGCTGGGATCTCTCCTGGATATCTATATATATGAAAGACGGCTGTAATTGCTTACTAACCCATCCCCCCTTATTATACGGAGTATCTCCCCCAACTATGGCATATATAAGGCGCTTCAGGGGGCTATGAATGAATTTACGTGTATGAATTAGATATTTACTTGTTCCTATAGCTCCTCTTTCTCTTTTCGTCTCATCTCTTGTCTGTAATTGTACTACTGGTTATACCTATTGCGCAGGAGGAAAAAGAATGGCGACCGTCAGACAGTGATGGGAATATTGAGCGGGCATATCATCCTGAGTCGGGTTTTGGAATCGGCGGAGCTGGCACTGATGCCTACCACTTTGCCTGTATTGCAAAAGGACTGGATGCTACCCCATGTACAATAGACAGACGCAATGCAGCAAGCGTCGCATACAGCGTACAGCAAGCATATGAAAGTTGCGGTACAGCGCGCGCGCACTCACCGCCCAAAACACTGCTGGAACCCACGAATTGCCGGCAAATGCACTTCATTTAATACGACACCGCCTCTGCGAGCATCAGGCAACCCGCTGAGCATGGGCCAATGGCGGCGGTATGCGCTGGTGGCCCTGGAGAACGCGCAAGGCACGTAGAAGAACGGTGAGTAGGCATGCATGCAGTGATGGCCTCCCATTGGCAGATACCTGGTATTATGTGCCTGAGAGACGGTGACTGACATTACATTGCAGACGCTGGGAAAGCGGGAACACGGAATATGACAGAAGACATGTGATAATGGTACCGGCGCGAGCTATAGGCTGGGAGTGAAGCAATCTAGAAGCAGTGGGAAAAGGGCGTGGTTGATAGGAACTGGAGTTTGGCTTGGGGAGTGGTTGACGTCACGAGCGCTCTGTTTTGGGTTTCTCGGGTCCAAAACACCGGAAACACGCAGAATCTCGATGAAGATGCAGATGTACGCACAGCCTCGTATCGAATAAAGCAAAAAGCAAAAAGCAGATTAAGATCAAAACCAAACAGGGCATGTGGCCTATGAACATGCTTCCATAGGTAGAATTCTAAGTCCAACGGAGCACAGAGACGGCCTGACTGTCAAAAATCAAGATTTCCAGGGACCAGGGTTGGTGCATATACGTCAAGGGGGGCCCCACTCCGGCTGCCGTTGAAACTAGCGGGAGCAGCAGCAGCCTTACCGCAACAACGCAGAAGAAGAGGTGAGAGACTGAATGCATGCATGTTGTGATAAAATGGCGGAGCAGAAGCACCGACAAAAGGGTAGGGGACAGTAATTTGGTGCTGTAATAGTGGCAGCAATGAATCTTTTGGCCGTTTTAGGGGAGGCAGCCCGTTGGTAGTGACGGCGACGGTCCAGTATGACGATTTCGGCGGCAATGACGATGTGCAATAAAAGGGTGACATAAGTAACATGCAACAATCATGTTGACGTCATGGAACGGGCCTCAGCCACAGGAGAAGAAGCTTCTGCCAGATTGCTGCTTTCGGGGAGCCTTTTTTCCCTTACTGGAATTGATGAAAATAAGCATTTTTGCAATGATGACGCTGGAGAAGCCACATCTGGTGCCAATCTTTGCCTGCCTTGATACCACCAAGATGCAAATCTGGGCCCCCCCTTGCCTGGTGTGAGTGGATGCCAAGTTGTGGATGGAGAGACACGGTCCAACGACGGGAGCTGCAGGAGTGATTGATAGGCCGTCCAGGGAACTTTGCTGTGTTCATGTGCCTGTGTACAGCATGTGAGTGAGTTTCGGGAGTGTGGCTAGTTTTAGGTACCGTGCGTATGTGGCGTAGGTGCAGAATGTACCTGACTCTCTCTCTCTCTCTCTGCCTTGGAAGATGCAAAGGCTAGAGGTGGTATCGTGTAATGAAATGCGGCACCTTGCAGCAGTAGTGGTCCCCTTTTTCCTGGGTACATTCCGCGCGTTAGTTTGTGGTCAAACGTATCTATTGCGTGAGGCGAGAAGGGACAATGGGGCCGGAGTAGAACTGGTTGCAGGGATACAGGCATCTTTTCGATTCTTTGGGGGGGCTCTTGTGTGTATAAGAGAAGGGAGCTCGCCACCTCTTTCCACGTCTCTCTTTCCTTCTTCTGCATGACCATTCGTTCCACAAACGAGAATTCCTCTTAAGATCACAGCTTCTTCATTCTGACACTGAGAATCAACATACTCTGTTAAATCACCACACAAACACTTTTCTCACCACAACAACAAAACACAAACATTCACAATGGGTGCCGTCGTATCTTGCGTATGTACCACCTTTCCACGATAAAAAACACACACAAAAAAAAAAAAACCTTCAGATGCTAACCAGTTCATTCCAACAGTTCGAAGCCATCTTCCGGACCATCGGTTCCGTCATCATGGCCATTATTAGCGGCATCGGCAACATGCTCACCGCGATCATTAACGGCATCGTCGCTTTCTTCGGCATCATCATCGGCTGCCTGACATGCGGCCGCTCTGGAGGCAGACGGCACAGACATGGAGGAATGCGAGGCTCCAGAATGCGGAGCACAGTATAAACCAACCAAAAATAAAAAATAAAAAATGAAAAAGCCGAAGATATGAGCAGCTGCCGATGTTGATGCCTCTTTTCTGGCTTGATTCTTGGGACGGCCCTATTTTTTTCTCAACTTTCACCTCGAGCGGGTTATGAATAACGACCATGAACGGAATGAAAAAAAGGACGCGCACTACCACAACAACAACCCGATTTTTCCTTGTGCTGTACGATTATTTGTTTTATTGTTTGGAACTCTGTTTTGAGATACCTCGACCTCCGGGTCGCTACCTTTGCGGTATATCCTCTTTTCTTTGTCTCTTGTTTACTGCATGTATTATTACATATTAGCTTTGGTTTAATTTGAATAAGACGCTATTATTGGCACACTTTTGTCCCTGCTCATTATGTGAATATCATCATATAAAAGTCTCATTAAATAGAGGTACCTAGTAAAAGTGGTGAGGAGATGTATCAGTCATCTTCCTCCATCACATTCCTATTAAAGAAGCCGTGGATTTTGTTGGCCGATACCCTGCCTACAATCGGCTCCAGCTCCTTGGGCTCCATGTTGGCCACCTCCCGTATGTTCTCCGTATCTAGCACTAGGCTTTTGATGTTCTGCGGCGTCACGCCTGGTACAATGGAGAGCATTTCCTGCGGCTCTTGGTTGAAGACCTGGTCTTCTACCTTGGAGTCCTTGTCCAGGCCTGCCTGCACTGCTGCGATCGGATCAGGTTCGTGCTCCAGGGTTTTCAGAGAAGCGAATATCTCTGCTGTCTCGTACGGGGAGGATGACCAGATGATGCGCAGTTTAGGAAAGGCCAGCGTCAGTAGCACCAGCTTAGACTGGAGATCTGACGACACGTTGGTGGGGGCCACGCTGTTGAGGCTGCCCGAAAGATCGGCAAAAGGCTCAAGGGTAAACGACTTGTTTTGGTCAAATTCAATCAGCAGCATGGGATTTTTGTAGTGCTGAAACATGGTTTCTGCCTGGGTGTATAGTCTGCCATCCTTAAAGGATGAGATCAAGTCATTGATGGACTTTCGCTCAACGCAAATGTTGGGTGACAAGATGTAATCGCCCACCGTCAGCATGCATGGTACTACGACCATGGAGCGTCCGTGCAGCAGCGACGGCAGCGAAGACCTGAATTCTCGCACGTCGACAACGACTCGAGGCGGTTCGGCGGTCGCCGCCAGCTTACCGCCTCCGGCGATGCGGGTGTTGACGGTGCGCAGAAAGGCTTCCTGCGGGTCTTCCATGCCGTGCGGGTCGACCGTCATTACCAACGACATGCTCGCTCGCTCTTTGATAAGCTTGGTGAAGGCATCTTTTTCCCGTCGAACGGAAGACAGATATCGCTGCTCCTCAACCGAGCCCCCGTAATACAAAAAGTACACGCGGACATTGCGGTCATTGTGAGACGAACGGTACACTTCCACCCGGCGAATAAAGGAGGCGTCTGGCTCATACATGATGATGTATCGCGGCTTAACCTCCTCCAACACATGCTCATCTTGGTCTCCGTCGTAGGCGTGCACAACAAGCAGGTCCTGCATCTCATATAGCTGATAGTAGTCTTCCATGTCTTCCAGCGGATCGGCAATTATGTCCTCTTTCTGCTGCTGCGCTTCCTCTTCTGTGATCTGAACTTCTGCCAGTAGATCGGCCACCTCGGCCGGTTTCTCAAAATATTGCGCAATGCTCCCGTTATCAGCACGTCCATACATGGCCATCGAGCTAGCTCCGCCTCGCATTCTTCGCCTCTTATTTGCTGGCGCTTTGCCTCCTCTTAGACCGCCGTGTCCCGGACGTGGATCCGATGCACCGTTGAGAGCCTTTTGATTCTCGGAGAACAAGCTGGCGCTGACTTGCGCAAATTGTCGTTTCCACCGTAGGTAGTTTCGAAGCTTTCGCCTCATCATAAAGTTGGCAGACGGCCGGCGGGCTTCCTCAGCACGTTCGCGTTCGAACTCGGGGTCGTTTACGGCAGGAAGCTTCTCCTTGTCTGCCCTTGGCTTCACATGCATAACTTGAAGATAGTCTCGAAGCTGTCGACAAGTATCTGTATTTGAGCACATGATTAATATTCCTCCGTTAGAGTCATCACGAGCTTTAGGCTCAAAAAACAGATCTCGATCAATCTCCTCCAGGACTTCTGCCAGAACACCCCATTTTGGCAATTCCTCAAGGACGGGTCGCAAAGAATCGATATTTTCGCCGCTTTGCGATACGTTTTTGGGATTAGCAGAGTATACACGCCTCCGGGCAGTGTCAAATATGGTTTGGGCAGCATCCAAAAACAGCCAAGGCGATTGGGATTGTCGGGTCGATCCGGGAGGAGGGGAGTGTGCGGCGTGAATAGTATCGAGGTGTTGCAGGAAAGCCACAGCATCGTAGGTAAGGATGTTGCTAAGCAGCCCGCGGAGGATGGTCAAATCGTTAACGATCTGCCGCGTCTTCCAACTGACCCGATGCCAATTGGGATCGAGCTGGCGACGGACAATTACGTCAAAGTTCTTGAGCAGTGCGCTATCAAGGTTCCAATCGTCCATTTCCAGGCCCGAGTTGCCCTTTTTGAGCTCGTGGATGCTGACTTCGACGCATTCCATGATTGCATTCTGAATATCCGTCATGGAGTCCGTCATGGGGACCTCAAGCTCAATGACTTCAGCCTTTTTCCTGCCTTCGAGGGATTGTGCAACGGTAACATGGAATCTCGGCCAGAGAGACGCCTTTTTGAGAAATAGATTTCTCATCATGGTGGTCAATGGTGAGAAGCCCGTTGTGAAAGGATCTGGGTTGTCTGAAAAGGCCTTGAGGAAGCCGACCTTGTTCTTCTGCCGATACACTCGAAGGATGAATGCCTCCAAGGAAGTGGCAACAATCCTGTCTGCGTGAAGGACAACAAGGCCGGTGATGAGCTCGGGACTCAACAGTCCCGTAAGGAGGTCGACGACGAGAATACGAGACGTAATGCTGAATATGCCTCCGTTTGCATACATTTTCTCTCTGGCACCGACGGTCTGAGAATCCGTATTGACAACGGTCAGGCCCCGTGCCTTGGTAGATGCGCTGATGGCGGCATGCTCGGCCAGTGCTTCGCCAACCCAGTTGTTCTCACGCTCGTCTGCGCCGACGAGGACGATGAGGTTGCTCCCGGCGGCATCGTAGGAGTGGAGGAGGTTTGTGATGAGGCGCATCTGGCCCAGCCCGCGGGCCAGGATCACGAGTTCATCTTCGGCTCGAAGCTCCTGGAACAGCTGCTGCTGGTATTCCTATGCGCACTCTGTTAGCATCAATTACGGGGCCCAAGAAGCTGCAAGCCGAGAGGCTGGGCCTACCAGAGGCAGAGATAACTTGACTGGCTGCGGCGCATTGCTGGTCGACATGCGGGGCGCCGAGAGAGTTGGTGGTGATGCTTCATGGCCCGAAGACCGTGAAGTTTCCCCAGAGCTATCGAGATCGAGTCAAGAGTGGCTCGGCAGCTTCCGTTACAAGGTACCTGCAGAAAGCCTGTTTTAGTATGGCCGATTGGCGTATTGACGGGGTACCGTTTTCTTAGCGTAGGTAAGCTTGCTGCTCTAGGTGGGGGCTCCGTTTTCTCACGTGACTGCTAGCATGCTGGAGCTGTCTTCCCGTTTGAAATCTGGGGCGTTACGGATTACAAGTGTGTACTGCGGTACCTTGATGCCCAGTGTAATGCTACGGCCATCGCTTACAAGCCCGTATCAGGAGAGATAACACAGAATGATGCTTCTGTTCAGTCATGTTCTAGTCGATGACTGATGTTCAACCGCATCGCATCAAGTTTACGATTTTTGCTTGCGCGGTGGTTACACACCAAGCGCTTTCTTGCTTGGTTCAAGTCGGTGCCAACATCCCCAATGACGTTGACAGAAACGTCATCCACATCTAACCCAGCGCCACCAGCGCCTAGAAGCGGCGCCTTATCGAACGAACCTCACCTCAGCTAAGGCGCTTTGGGTGTATATATAGTTTGCGGGTTTGCTGCCCAAGTTCTGACTTCCTTTCTCTCCATACTATAAGAACACACAAAGTTGCATGATTATTCTTCGTAACAGAACTACGATTGCACATCTACGTTATAAACACAATATTTTAAACCTATATACAAAGAGAACACTCGTCTCAAAACATATCAACATGGATTCCGGCAACAACCAGCAGAAGAAGGAGGTATGTCTTGCGTTTGTTGTTTCATCCATTTGAATTCTGTGACAAACCGAGTCGGCTAACATGGAGTTCTCTTAGGGCGAGAAGCAATTCTCCATCCAGCCCATCCAGGACAACGCCGCCGCCGACCCCAAGTTTGCTGCGCACCAGGCTCATCCAGGCCCGGCTGTGGCCAAGAGCATGCCTTCAGAAGAGGGCACCAAGGAGGAGCGCCAGGCCAGAAAGGAGGAGCTGAACAAATAAAGAGAGAACAATACACAGCAACAGAGCGTTTACCATTAATCAATACATTGTTTTTTATCTGAAAATCTCTTTCTTTACGAATGACTTGATGTGGTTTAAGCCTTGACTAAGGTATAAAGAGGCTATACATGCCTGATGGAGTATATGATGTTCGCAGTAGAATGTAACGGCGGGGTGCGATGATGAGGAGTGCAGCGGGTTGGGCTACTCAACACTGCCCATTTAGCCACTAGTATCATATGTGATGCTCTATATCTTGTAACACGCTCCATCTCACGAAACGCCAAAGATTAATTAACCAAATTCCCCGTAGCTTCTGCCATGGCTCTGCAATCGATAACCGCCGTCGTCACCATTGGAAGGTCTCGTGCCTTTTCTGCGTGATGACGAAAGAGACTGGCGCGGCTTTCTGCTAATGGAATCAGCTTCAGTCAGCAGCAGGCAGGGGAACCGCTACCCATGGATGCCTTGGGCCTATTGCAGCACCCCTCCCCGCTAATTTCCAGCAGCCTAGCCCCAAGACTACAGCGATGCGAGAGGGCTACGAACACTGTGTAATTTGCGCTGCTGCGGATTCCATAACGCCCGGGGCGGAGCTGTGCACCGAAACTGCCAGTGGAACTTGCTGCGGATTCCCGGGTCCCTTGTCCGAACAGCGCAACCTCACGCCAGCACGTCCTCTTCCTTCACTTTCGCCCTCGCCTTGTTCTCTCCCATCTTCCTGTCCTCCCAAACTCTCTTCCTTGATGCCTCCGCCGCTGGAGACGCATGTTCGACTCGGTTCCTCCCTTGCACGAAACAGTCATCCTATCCCTAGCGCTTGCTCGGCCCGAGGCCGTTGCCCACGCCTGCCTGGAGGCTGCGGCCCTTGAATCAATCTTGCTGCCTTTTGACAGCGGGCGCCAACTCTAGACGAAAAGAGGAGACGGTCAAGTCCAGCTACCATCGACTACCTGCTATTAGGCGCCCCCTCTTTCCACGCCGCCAAACCGACAACCGCCAAACAGTCGCTCGTGAACAGCTCCTCGCTGCAGAATCGACCTCTTCTCCCTTTTTTGTTCCCGCCACCATCCGCCGCCGCCGCGCCTTTGGCCCAGCGACCGCTCCCGAGCGGCCTCCACCGCCGCAAACATGCCCTCTATCCTCAACGACGACGACAAGGATACCGTCAAGCGCTTCGTGCCCAAGCAGTCCAACAAAATCCAGGCTGTTGCCGTCGCCAAGCTCTACGTTGCGTATCCCAATCGCTCGAAATGGACCTACACGGGCCTGCAGGGCGCCATTGTGCTGGCCAACGATCTGGTCGGCAACACCTACTGGCTCAAATTGGTGGACATTTCGGTATGTGTGACCCCCTTTGAATCACTTTTTCTCAGCTTACTCTACTGCTGGCTTTGTTCGGAAACAAGGCCCGTGGGAAGCAAGTGATCGATATGGAGAGAAGCGAGAGAAGAAGTCAACGTGTTAACAGCTTTTGGTGTATTCATAACAGCCATCCAACCGCGGGGTCATCTGGGATCAAGAAATCTTCGATACGTGGAGCTATAACCAAGACCGAACCTTTTTCCACACCTTCGAATTAGAGGAATGCCTCGCTGCGCTCAGTTTTGTCGACGAGAAGGAAGCCAAACAGTTCAAGAGGAAGATGGACGAGCGAGAAAAGAACGCGAGCCGAGCCACGAGAGCCGCTCCATTTGGCGGATCTAACCAGGCGTCAGGAGGCCAGAAGCACAGCCTGTTGGGCAACATCTTTCACCGACACTCGACCGTATCTATGATACCGGACACCGCAACTTCCAATTTGTCGGGGTTTTCCCACAACTCTGGCTCCTCAGTTAGCTTGAACGATAACAAGGGCTCCGAATTTGCCTTGCTGGACGCCTTCGACCCCCTCTGGCGAGAGCATTTCGGCCAGGATCTTGCCGACAAGGGCTTGAATGATGACTTTATTAAGGACAACCAAGAATTCATTGTCGACTTTCTCCGTGAAGAGCAAGCCAAGCTAGCCAATGAGGCAGCGCCGCCACCACCACCGCCCGCCCTGCCTTCACCTTCGACCAACGGCCTCGAATCAAGAACCGTGAGGGCACCGCCTCCACCTCCACCCGCCGCCGCGGCAGCCGCTGCTGCCCTGAACAGCTCCCCTTCTGCCAAGAGATCAGGACCTCCTCCGCCTCCAGCCCCTCGGCGATCGGGTGGCCAGGTCACCAGAGATGCCAGCCCACCGAGAGCACCGTCTCCTCCCCGGCCGAGATTCAATGCCCCGCCTCCCCTGCCCGACGCAGGCAAGTTTGCGAACCAAGCCGCCGACAAGAAGAAGTCGTCCGTATTATCAATAATACCTGGTGCTACCTCGTCTATCCCTCCTCCTCCTCCGCGACCTGCCAAGACTCCTCTCGAGTCCGACGACCACAAGTTCAATGTTCCGCCGCCCTTCACAGGCCAACGCATTTCTGCGCCCCCTCCACCAAGCCGTGGACCAGTTCCTCCTCCACCACCTCCACGGGGCAGCGATGCCGGCATATCGATTCCTGCCGCTGCTCCTCCTCCTCTGCCTCCAAAGGTGCCGACCGCGAGCGCTCCTCCTTTGCCGCCGCCAAGTGCTCGGCCAGTCCCGCCTCCACCAGCGGCAAATCATGCGCCGCCGCCTCCTCCTCTACCGGTAGCAAACAGCATCCCAGCTCCTCCTCCGCCTCCAGCTCTGCCGTCACCAAAAGCGCCGTCGTTGCCTCCTCCGTTGCCCACGGTCAGTGCTCCACCAGCAGTTCCGCCTCCGCCGCCGTTGCCATCGCCGGGAGTTGCCAGTCCTCCACCACCCCCTCCACCTGGTCCTCCGCCGATTCCTGGAGCTGGCAGCGCTCCGCCGGCACCTCCACCACCACCTCCTCCTATGCCCGTAACCAGCGCCGCCCCTCCTCCGCCGCCGCCGCCTGGCCCCCCTCCGATCCCAGGAGCTGGAGCTCCTCCTCCTCCTCCACCGCCACCTCCATTTCCATCTGCAGCAGGTGTCCCACCTCCTCCTCCTCCTCCGCCGCCGGCGGCGATGCCAAATCGAGACTCTGGCTACTCGTCTGGCGCCCCTTCAGCTGCTCTTCCCAAGGCAGAAGGTGGACGGGCGTCTCTACTGGGAGATATTCGGGGAGCAGGCGGTATCGGTGCTCTCAAGAAGGTGGATAGGACCAAGATCAACGACCGCAGTGGAGCGTCTGTTGGTGGAGCTTCTGGTTCAGGCGCGGGAGCTGCTGCTGCCCCTGCTGGACCAGGAGGTGTGCCAAATGCTCTAGCAGCAGCTTTACAGAAGATTAAGGATAAGGCTAGCAAGAGCGGTAAGTTTCTACTTTTTTGCTCTTTATTGTCGATGGGGAATGATTTTGTGTACTAATTTTGGCTTTTCTTATAGACGATGAAGAGGAAGAGGAAGATGATTGGTAAAGAAATCAATATCAAAGGAGAAGATGATGAAGAGATATCTACGCCACCAGGCACCATGATTGTTGTGGCTACCCAGGGAAGGGTAAAGGGGGCAAGGGGAGAAATGAAGACCCCAATTCACAGGGCTTCAATTATACGAGGCACACGCTAAGTCATCTGGCTTATAAAAACTTCAACGAGATCCTTGCAATTCGCGGCTACCACGGAGTAGGGTTAGTCAAAAACCTCAAGGCTACAGAGAATGAGAGAGAAATACGATGGAAGGTGGTTTTGCTGTTGTATATTTTTCTGAGTGAAGGAGGTGGGATGAGTGAGTGGAGGCCCATGTTACAGGAGTCATGGAGTTGTATGCTTGGGAGAAGGAATTTTTGATGTCATTATTCGATAGATTGATTTGCTTCAAGTTATTTGTAGCATAAAGATACGTTACTGGGGAAATTTCTCTGCCTTGAACAATAGGCGGAGGAAATTAGGAGAGGAGTGTAGGGGAGAAAAAAAAAACTAAAGATTGCATAAAAAGTATCGGGAAAGAAATGAGTGAAGAGAACAGCCACACAGCATAAAAAAGAGTGCACGCAAGATGAGTTTTTTAAGTGGTCATTGCTATATAAAAAGCGGACAAAGTTTACAGTGTAAGCAATTCTTGTATCAAGATGGCAAAAACATGAACGTGTGAAACGACTTAAAAACACCCAGTGACGAGCCGCGCCGTCTCTCCCACCGCGGCCATCTAAGAACCTCCGCCCTCGAGAAGAAAAACTGTCGTGGGACCCAGCGAGCAACAGCAGCAAAAAAAGGTGCGAAACAAGGCAAAAGTCCAAAAGAATAAAGAGAACATTTGCAGGCTCTGAAGATTTTCCTGCCTTGTGCCCTCCATCTTTTGGGCTGCGATCCAGAAGGGTTTGAGAGAGAAGACAGCTGTGCGAAATCCTCCCCAAAGGGTGCGCACAATACTGGGTGGCTCCTTGCTTCCTTTTCATTTTCTCCTTTTTTCCTTCAATATGGAGCGCACGGTAAAAGGGAAAAGAGCATAAATGGGGAGAGTTTTGCGAAAATTGATGTAGTGAGAGGCAAGAGGGTATAAGGCGAAATGGTCCATTTCTCTCGACATGTTTTGATCCCTCCGTCAGACCCAGCGAGCGGGGACGGGGCGCTCAAATGTCGTCAATGTCAAGCTCCTTCTTCTCGTCACTGGACTCGTCAGACTCGGACTCGTCGGCGCCGAACTCGAAGCCGGCGTTGTCGTCGCCGTCCTGGCCGTAGGAGTCGGTCTCGTTGATCTTGGCGTTTTCGGGGAGCTCGCCCAAGTTCTTCAGGTTACGGGCCTCGTCGGAGGTGTACTTGAGGATGACGTCGCCCTTGCCGTCCTGGAAGTCTCGGAGGGAGAGGAGGATGATGTCGCCCTGGTTGATCCAGACCTTCTTGCGCATCTTTCCACGGATCTGTGGGTGGACATGATCAGCTTATCTGGTGATTGGAATAGAAGAGGGGATGTTTGTTCTTCTCGGCAGGAGAAACTAAACGTACGTTGGCAAGTCGCTTGCTGCCGTCAAAGCACATGGCCTCGAGCCGGCCGTTACCCAGCATCTTCACGACCTGGGCGTACTCCTGGCCGTCCTCCTTGAAGGTCAGCTCTCGGCGCTGGTCATCGTTCTCCTTGGTTCCTCGTCTGCGGTTCTTGCCGCCCTATTTTTGCGCAAAGAAGAGTAGATGTTAGCCGAAGGGATCTCAGAAAAAGCAACGTCTCAATATTATGAGAAGCTGCCGGCTGCCGCATCGGAGGCAGAAGAGGAAGAAAAAGGCCAACACAAAAAAATGGCGGGGGAGGGGTTGAATTTGATCTAATTCAGCTTCCCGCTCCTTGTTTTTTTACGGTTGTTTTTTTATTCCTCTTGTGCTTGTCTTCTTCGGCGGCCCAGGTAGATGTGAAAACGTACTTTTCCCTTGTTCTTGGGCATCTTGACTGTTGGCTCGAGAAATCTGGAGTGTCGGTGACCAGGGGATGCAAGAGGTCAAAAAGTCGGCAGCCTCTCAGATTCTTATGTAGGGGCAAAATATTAGCTTTCAGGCGCAGTCGTCGCAACTCTATGCGGCATGGTGACTCAATGTCACGTGATGCGAGTCACTATCATAGGTAAGGTAGTCAGACGGCGTCAGCTCATGATTCATCGACTCGAAAGGAAATGGTATAATAACCCTATTTCTATTTTAAAGTAACATGCTATGAGGCAGGCAAGGGTATTTAATAATAATATCGATTTTCTCAACATTTCTTGCAGTAAAGGCTGCATCTACGGAGTAGAACTGGGATAAGCTCAGCCATCCAGGTACCAGTCCTACATGGTGCAGTTGGTCAAGATACTTAGATGTATATTCTACTAGTAGTATCTGCCACTAGTTTCCACTAGTAGACACAATATTATGATGTAAAATACTATAGTAGTAAGGGACATGGATAATTTTCTTTGAGTCATTCAATGTAATGGGTGTATTGGCTGGTGCATGTATATGCTCTGCATTTACGTTTACGTATGCCAAAGGGCGTACCACAGTAACAGCCAGCTGTGGCTGAGTCCAGAAGCTTGGAATAATATTGCTGAAAGGGGCGAAAAGAAGATTTGGCATCAAGGAGTCGGAGATAACAAAGAAATGTCAGCCAGTTCCGGAACATGGAATTCTGTATACCTGCCTGCCCAACTGCCCGATGCAAAAGTATCGAGTGGCGTTAAGAGGCGTGCAAAGGCAAAAATAGAGGCCCACTAGCGAAAATTTACAAACTTGATCTGCGTTATCCGCGTAATGGTTGGGTTACATAAGCAGACTCACTGGTGCTCTGTCCAGGTACTGGATCTTTTATTATAGTTGGTGAGAACCATACGGAACTTATTTATCTTGTTGTAGGATTGTATCATGATGCCATCCAGGCACTGGTACACATTGCTAACAAAATACTCATCAAGTGTGAAAAGAATGTAGACTACTTCGGCTTTGTTTCGGTTGTTATGTGATCCCCTACGAATTATGAATTACACGGTAGGAAGCGATGTAAGTAGCTGCTTTCTTTTAGAACGAGAGATTCTACGCAGGGATCATTAAATCTTTAGTCCACTATGAATGCTACATAATTGGGGTGATTAGCCACAAGACTTTCTACATACTATTTGTCTAAGTTTGGGGATGCGTATGGGAGTACCAATTCCTAAGGATTTTGCGAATTTAGATAGCAAACATGATGAGGGAGCCTGGATGCAAGCCAAGCAGAAGACTCGCTCAATGGACGCAGCGAGCTGGCAAAATTGTATTGAACAAGTCACGCATTGATTGGTGCGTATTTGCTGACTTGCTGTCTTAGGTCGGGAGCGGGGAATCGCCCCGATGCCCAATATACATCAGGTATATCCAGGGAGTTAATTATCAGTTCTGCTCCAGAGACAGCTGCTGGCCAAATTCAAGCTGCCCATAATTCAGCATTGTTTATGAAAGTTACAGCTCAGGTTCTTGATTGGAGACATATGATTAACGCTGCGCAACCATGTCTGATCCAAACAATTATAGCGTCGGGTGGATCTGCGCCATAACGACTGAATACGTTGCCGCTCAGGCATTCCTGCACGAGAGGCATGATGGGCCCAAGCAAGTATCTGTTCATGATAACAATAATTACACGCTGGGCAGGATTGGAACGCATAATGTTGTTATTGCGGTCCTGCCTAATGGCGAATACGGATTATCTTCCGCAGCGAGCGTGGCAAGAGACATGCTGCATAGTTTTCCAAACATTAGGATTGGTCTCATGGTTGGCATCGGTGGCGGTGCTCCCAGCAAGAAGCACGATATTCGACTTGGTGATGTTGTTGTGGGTGTCAAAAGTGGGCACAGCGGAATCATCCAATATGACTTTGGCAAGGCTATTCAAAACCAGGAGTTCCACGAGACTGGATTCCTGAACCAGACACCAACGCTGCTGCGAGCAGCTGTTAGTGGCCTTATGGCACAGCACGAGTTTAACGGGAACCAACTGGAACAAGCCATTGACAGCGCATTGAGCATCCATCAACGACTACGAAAGAGAGGCTATAAGCGACCTGAAGCGGCTACTGATAGACTCTACCAGTCGCAATTCGTCCATCCTTCGAATGACGAGAGTGCCTGTGCAATATCTTGTGGCGATGATCCGTCACATCTTGTGGAGCGGCAAGAACGAGAAGAAGAAGATGGCGATGATGTTGTGATGATCCATTATGGCCTTATTGCCTCAGCAAATACCCTGATGAAGGATGCTGCAATTCGAGATCGGCTTGTAGCAAAAAGGGACGTTCTTTGTTTCGAAATGGAAGCTGCTGGGTTGATGAACCACTTTCCCTGTCTGGTTATTCGCGGCATCTGTGATTATTCAGATTCGCACAAGAACAAGAAGTGGCAGGGTTATGCAGCAATGGCAGCTGCAGCATACGCGAGAGACCTCCTCCTCCAGATAGCTCCAAATAAGATTGAGGCTGAGGAGAAGATTAGTGATGTTTTATCTGGCAAGCCCTGAGGTCACTCTGCGCTAGGGTCCTGTGTATTTATTAACTTTGCCTCTCTAGGCATTCACAAACTTACTGAAGAATCTCGAGATATTGCAAAAGAGCAACTTCGGATTCACAAAGATCAAGTCAAACAAAGACTATCTGAAAAAGAGCAGAAAATTCATCAACTATTCCGCCTTAGCAGCAGCAATGATGCAACGTATGAATGGTACAAAGACCAAGTCGAAGAAAGGGTTGAAGGCACATGTCTGTGGCTGTTACAGCATAAGCACTTCCAAAAGTGGTTGAAACAAGTTGAATCTGGGCCTCTCCTCATCACAGCGGATCCCGGCTGCGGGAAATCAGTCTTGGCCAAATATCTCATTGACCATGGCTTACCGCAATCAGCAACTTGTACCAGTATTTGCTACTTCTTCTTCAAAGACCAGGATCAAAACACTTGTCGCCAAGCGCTTTGCGCATTGCTTCATCAGCTCTTCTCTCAAAGCCGTCTTTAATTGCTAAACATGCCATACCGCAATACGACGGAAATGGGGAAAAACTGATCAATGCTACAAACATCCTTTGGGAGATTCTGCAGAGCGTTCTCAAAGATCCCGAAGCAGGGTCTGTAATTTTAGTCTGATGCTCTTGATGAGTGTGGCGAATCGGAATTGACGAGCTTGATCAAATATTTGGAGAGCCTATTTCACCGGCATCAGTCAAGCAAGTCAAAAGTTCTCCTCACATGCCGTCCATATCAGCAAATCATCTCCAAATTCCATGGTCTATTTAGCAACTTCCCACATATCCTTATTCCCGGCGAAGAAGAGTCGGAGGTCATTAGTCAAGAGGTCGATTCTGTTATCCAACATCGGGTCAACCAGCTACCACTATCGTCCAAAATAAGGAACTGCCTGGAGGAAAAATTACGAGAGATTCCGCACCGCACCTACCTGTGGGTGCACCTGATATTTGATCACATACAGCAAGGAGATTTTACACATACACTGAAAGGACCCAAGTCCTTAATTCAAAGGCTCCCAAGAAATATCAATGATGCGTATGAGCGAATACTCAATAGGTGCAAAGAAGGACAAGAGCCCGTTGTTCGGAAGGCCTTGGGCGTTATCTTGGCTGCCAGACGACCACTGACACTCTCGGAAATGAACGTCGCAATGAGCATAGATGATACAGCTACAGAAGACATAACAAAGGCTCTGGATAGTCTCGATTTGGAGGATGAAAGTGACTTTAAATCGCGTCTGAGATCGTGGTGCGGGCTCTTCATCTCAATCCACCAAGGCAGGGTTTATTTCCTTCACCAGACTGCCCGCGAATCCCTCCTCGCTGATTCAGCGTCTCGTACAATATTAGGACGAACATGGCATCACTCTATGACCACCCGCCAGGCACATGATGTTCTGGCCAAGCTTTGCATTCGCTATCTAGACTTTCTTGATTCTGAGGTTGATCTGGCTGCAGAAGAGAATGGGCTTAATACACCGTTTTTTGACTACGCGATAAACTGGTGGGATGATCATTTCCGCGAAGCTCAGATTACTGATGACGATTATATTATACCTGCAACGCTGAGGATTTGCAGTCCCAAATCAAGCAGCTATATTTTCTTCTGCCAATCAGACCACTTTCTCCGGATCCCGAAGCCTAAACTCAAGGCTACGGACCTTATGATAGCATCATTCTTTGGCCTCCATGCTATTGCCAAGTTGCTTATTGATAATTCAGCTAGTATTGAAGCAGAAGATCTATCTGGCCAGACGCCCCTTTACTGGGCTGTCGCTGGAGGGCATGAGACAGTTGTTAAACTACTAATTGAAAATGGAGCTAGGTTCGAGACGGAGGAAATTCACAGTTATACAACTCCATTGTTAGTAGCTGCTGATTACGGAGATACAGCAATTATGAAAATACTAATTGAGAATGGAGCTGACATTGACGTGAAGGCTGAATATAGCGAACAAACACCATTGTTATGTGCTGCTAAAGTAGGACATGAGGCAGCTGTTAAACTACTAGTTGAGAAAGGAGCCTATATTGAGGCGAAGGATAAATTTACAGGCCAAACACCATTATCAAATGCTGCTGAAAGAGGGCATGAGGCAATGGTCCAGCTGCTAGTTGAGAAAGGAGCTGATATCGACGCAAAAGGTAACAAGGGCCACACACCATTATCCAGGGCCGTTGAGGGAGGGCATGAGGCAACTGTTCGGCTGCTCATTGAGAAAGGAGCTGATATTGAGGCGAGGGATAAGTACGGCCGAACACCATTATCTATGGCCGTTGTTGAAAAGCATGAGGCTATTGTTAAGCTGCTTGTTAAGCATGGAGCTAATATTAGGGCGAAGGATAATGACGGCCAATCGCCATTATCAACAGCCAAAAAGGAAAGGTTGAAGACCATCTATCAGCCGCTACGTGGGAAAAGAGCTGTTGCATCTACCGGCCATTGATGCGAATGCTGAAGTGTGCAGCTATTCTACTTTTGGCTCTTTTCATTTCCGGGTATATAGGTATCTTCTCAGCTGGGTTTGAAATAGTGGTGCAGTCCTGCAATGGCCGATTCATACTTCATGTCTAGGTATCGTAGACATAAGACAAGCCAAATACATGGATTCAAACGCTGACTCTTTGAAGATTAGGTACTGCGAATATGCCACCCGTTTTCAGTACTTGTCTTTGCCCCGAAAGGCATTCAGTCATTTCCCATATTTAGATCTTACATGTGGATCAAGGTATGCCAAGTGCATACAGAGGTGGAACTTGAACGAGTCCACTAACCGATATGTAGTTTGTGTTTACACTAGTTGGCTTACATAAGCACCCGCGAACTCTTTTTGAAGCTCATCACCAACTTTCACATACAATCGGTTGACCAAGAACGCTAGAGCATTCACAAACAAGGACCCATAATCAAGTCATTCCTTTTTTTTTGTTTTATTATATATAGGATACAAACATATTTCCAACGATTGTACAGAAACCAAGGAGAAAAGAAACACATAACATTGCATTTCTCATGCGATATCAAAAACTCCACCAACCATGAAATCAACATCTCAACATCTAAGGCCACTCGTCCTCAGACAACAGCTCTCCCCCTCTTCCTCAAACACCCGCTCCTTCGCCTCCTCTACAATCCACCCCCCTCGTCAAACATCAAAACCCACCCAGAAATCCCCCTTCATCCAGCAGAAGCCAAAGCAAAAGCAAAAGCTCCTCCTCAGAGACACCATCCGGCGCTTCATCCCCGAAGAAGCCAAGAAATTCATCCGCCCAACCGGCACCCTCTGCACCACCCCCGAAACCGCCGCCTTTTTCGTCAAGCACAACATCGAGCCCGACAATGGCGCCGCTCGCCGCTTCACCGCCGGCCCGGCCATCCAAAACGCAACAAAGGCGTACAACGCTGTGGTGGCTTTCAGTCCGCGGCACATTGTCCATCCGCATGACCTGCGCTTTTTCGATCCCAGGGGCCACCCGCTGGCCGCGGCGAGGCGCGAAAAGTATCTGCGAAAATCGCGCGAGGAGCCGCTCTGGATTATGGTGACGAGCGCTGGGGCGGCATCGACGGTGGTTCGGGTGATGACGCAGAGGCGGCTCAAGAGCGCCATCTACCGCTACCTGGAAGACCTCGGATTTCCAAATGGAGTGGGAGAGCACAAGGAGATCAGGGGCACCGTCTGGATCACGCTTTACGATCCTGTCAAGGCTTCAAAGCTGCCTCCAGAACCATTTGCGGAAGCCATTGCCAGGGCTCTCAGGAGTAACTGTGCCCAGCCTATGAGATGATGGATGTATGGACGATCCATTAATTTCTCAGTTCATACTCCTTATTGCATCCCTGTTTCGTGTTGTAGCCTTGGAGCTTTTGTAAAACACATCAGCCAGCTGTGCTGTTTCACTTGATATTTGTATATATGTATATATATATATATATGTAGTCATCTTTGACGTCAACCGTCATATAAAAACTGTTGTCATTGAGCTCGAGCTAAATCGCACTTGGAAAGCGATTTAACAAAAAAAGGAAGTAAAACAAAGCCAAAACATGGGCACGTTGGCTTCTCCAGCGCCATCCCGCTGAGCCGCAACTTCATCTTGTCAGCCGTGACAAGAACTGAACCCCCCCTTTTCCAACACCACACCTCTCGTCCACAGAAAATAGGATATCTTGAACCTCATGCGCAAAACTGAACACAAAATGCTATCAAACGCTCTCCTCCGACGCCGGTGGATGCTCTTGGCTGTCCCTCCCAACTTCTTCAAAAACCAAAGATGTCGGAGTGAACAGGCCTGACATGAAAGGAAATGAGAGAAATAAAAAGAAATGGTCACTGGAGAGTGCTACAGGGAGCTTGTCTTGTCCAAAAAGGAGTCACCCGCCCCTTCGCCTTCTTCTTCTGTCGAGTAAGCGACAAATTTTCCTTTGCCCTTAACATCTCCCATCGTTGTCGTCGTCGTCGTCAATCCAAGCTTGCTTTCCTTCATACTCCGTCGACTAACAGGTCGCTTGTTAGCCGGCCTCTTTGGAGTTGATGTGCCCCCCCTGCGACTCTTTGGTCGGTCTGATCTAGCAGCATCACGAGGAGATCCTATCCTCAGCTCTTCGCCTGATGAATTTCGTCTCGTTGTCGGCGCCGTAGAGCCGCTCTTCATTTCACGCATCTCTTTGACGACGTCTGCAAAGCTTTCTTCCAGAGTCTTCATCCGAGCAAGAACCAGCCTTCCCATCCTATCGCGATCTGCCGTATCAACTCCTCCCACGTCTCGTAACCGGCTATCTTTCATGAAAGCCAGGGCCATCTGCGTCTGGAAACTGCCTGCCAAGCCAGCGTTAATGTCTCCGGCAAAAGGAAGGTTCGTGTTGTCGGACAAAATGCTTAGGTCGGCTGACGACAGCCTTCTAACACCACGATCGCGGTTCCTTGGATCAAGGCCCATGACAGCCGATTTGTTCAAGCCGCTAGTGCTCGCGAGTCCCTGTGAAGGCATAGTAGAGCGAGTGATGAAGGTTGGCGGAGAAAACATCCGCCGGCTAGGGGGGCTGCGTACGCCACTAGACGTCTCTCCAGCATTTCCGCCTCGGCTTATTGTAGGGGCTACTCTTTTGGGTGGCGAAGCTGATGCAGAGCTTTCGGGCGGATGGTCCATTTCACCAGGATTGAAAAGTATGGTATTCGTGGACAGCGTGCGATTGTGTCCTATTGCGCGTCGCCTAGGCTTATTGGAAGAGTTTCCCTTGTCCGACGAGCTGTGAGACGAAGTTATGGCGGCCGACTGTGGCCCTGTAGGAGTCGTTGTAAAATAGTCGTCTGTCTCACTGGCAAGAGCATTCACTCTCCTTACACCGCGAGTTTCTGTATTTGTGCCGTTTTCGTCTTCATATTCATCGTTTGTGACCAGCTCATCATCTCCATCGGCGTCGGTGTGGTCTTTATACTCGGGTGTCAGGTGGGCGAAGCGAGGATCCATCATCATGCGGTAGCCCCCGTAAGAAGCTCCTCCTGCATTGGACGCCAGATCCGCCGGATCGCTGACGATGGATCTGATATCGGATACCTGTCTGGAGTTTGAGCGCAGATCCCAACCCATGCTCATCCTTCTCTGCCATTCGGGCACAGCCCTACTGTCCGATGGTGGCCAATTGGAACCCCCTGCATCCTGATCATTGCGATCCATCCAATTACGGATCGCAGTTTTGGTCTTGCGTCTCTCGTGCCGTCTCTGTGCTTTTGTAGCATCAGGCATGCGCAGAAATAGCTCGTCAAGAGCCCTATCCTTTTGATATCCCGCCACCGATTCTTCGCGTACTCGCATGCTTGGGCTGAAGATGGTCGTCCTATTGGCCATATCCCCAAAAGAAATCGCCCTAGTCCGACTTCTTCCTGGGTTTTCGACCAGATCTGTAGGCTCATACATAGACGGCGCCAGCCAGAATCTTTCGTACAAGTAGATACAGAACAGCAGTGGGCAGTGGGTTACCTTGATGATTATGCGATTGAGCAAGACAAAATGGCGAAGGGGCATGCAGTAACGCAGAGGCATGAGTAGCCACGCAAAGATGTTGCTAGGTGCAATGTAGGAAAATAATGCGTCGTTTTTTACCATGGAGATGGTGTTGACGGCAAAGAGAAACCTAAGGGAAACAGCGTCAGTAACGGGCGCTTTCGAAGATTCATAGAGTCATTGATGCATACTGATGCTCTTCGTTGGCATTGGACGCAATGGCCATGAAGGAGTTTGTCAAAACGGTGATGAGAATTGTCCTAGGTAAAATAATCAGCAAGGCTCAATCTTGTTGCTGGAGTCCAGAAACATACACAATCAAGAAGTGACAAATGATGAGGAAAAAGCATAGTAATGCTCGCGCAAGCCAATTATACGATGGCCATCTATTTGACGTTAGTTTTGGAAACACTCCGGCTTTTTAGGCCGCAATCAAAAGAAAGGGAGGAAAAGGGGGGCCATACACATCCCAAGCGGCGGGCGTGAAGCCCATGAGAATCTGGAATATCTTGTAGGCAACCTCGGCACCATTACTAGAGGTGGTAGAAGAAGTGAAAAAGACAAAGAAGCCGCTACACACAATAAGAATCAAAATACACACGGCTGCCAAGTCAACAGCCATCAGCCGGAACGCAATCAGTAGCTGAGAAAAGTACTGGTAGTGGTCCAGGACGCTGAATATGCGAGGCAGCAACAGGATGGCATTTGCAGCCAACACGTCAAAGGCCATTGCGTTCCAGTGATGGGGGTCGGCGAGGAAGACGCCATAGACACGCATACAGTAATAAGCAATAAGCAGCACCAGGATGCCCAAGTCAAAGATGTTCCAAAAGCTCATGAGATACAGGGCAAAGCCCTGTTCGTTGAAGCCCACGAGCTCATCGAGCATGAAACCGGCACTCCAGAACCAAAAGACCAGTTCTAAGCCAGTAATTTGTGCAGATCGTTTAGCCAAGACGGCCAAGAAGAGCCCAATCAAGACACCAAGGGACAGTGTAGACAAGAAAGATCTATATCGCGGCACACGGAGACGAGAAAGCTTCAGTAAGGATGCCTGTCTGGGATCGTACAACATCACAGTTCTCCTGCCAGAGGGGACGGCAAAGGTTCCCGGCTTTGGAGGCAGAGAGCCCAAGAGAGGAGTCCTATCATCAACTTTGGGCTGACTATTGTAGCGAGAATAGGGACTTGAAGGCGACTCCCGGTGCAAGCTATCGGCAGAAGAGTAGAAAGAAATGGCACCATTCCAGATAGCCTCAAGCTGCTGGACCACAACGGGATGGGCAAGGAAATGCTTGGCCGAGGCCCGAATGGCAACCTCCAGAGTCGATGTTCGCGACGCTACAAAGGGGTTGTTTTTAGACTTGCTGCTAGAACTGCCAGCCGTCATAGGAGGTGGTTGTGCTCCTGGCAAGCCTTGGAGAGGATAAAAGTCGTAGGCCAATGCATCAATCAGCTCGCGAGTGGAGTACTCTTTGAGCATCTTCAGGGCTAACAGCTCACAGACCTTGGCTCTTGTGTTGCTGGTTCCAGCATTGGCAGCATACAGCTGGCCTTCCTTGGTGAACTGGAGACAGTTTGCCATGAGGGCGTAAATCGTGGCTCGGGAGAAGTGCTGGCTTCGAATCTGCTGCTGCATCGGCTTGACAAGGAATTGAGAGACCTGGGGGGACCGCAGCTGGTCCCAAGTAAGCGTCGTCTCAGTACGAGAGCTCACGATGATTCGGATAGCATGAGTCAAGCTATAGACTGGAAGAGCATCTAGAGAAGAGAAAAGAAAGCGGGCGTATAAGTCAGCTACTCGGCCTTGGGTATACTTGTTGAAGGCTCATTGTTAGGAGGTGAGCCTGAATATCATACCGAGGTGCGAGGAGGAGAAGAGTGGAACAATAGGCAGAGTGTTGCGTCTCCGAGGCTGGCGTTCTCCCTCCCCATCGTCATCATCGTCTTCTTCGGCTTGCCCCCGAATTCCTTCTGGAGGCATATCAGTCGTGTAAGCACGACGGCGACGAGTATTGTTGGTGCCATTGCTGTTGCTGTTACTGTTGCTATTGTTGTTGTTGCTTTCTTCGAAACGGCCCGAGTCATTCGTAGTATTGTTATTATTACTGTTGTTGTTGTTGTTGTTGTGATCGAAGCCGTCATCTTCGTCCTCATCGTCGTCGTCTGCTTCTGTAAAATCTGCCGTGGCATGGGCTCGATGGGCGGGGAATGGCCGAAGCGGCGTGACAGTAGACGGCGAGATGCTATCATGCCGACCAGAAACGCGGCGAGGGGGAGCCGGTCGAGGGCGACGCGGGGCTATGGAGGACATCTTCGGGGCCTGCCTGAGCTGAGTCCTTGTCTAAACCTAGATATGCCGGACGAAGTTGCGGCTGGGAGACCCGTCACTGTCAGCACAGCTTGGCCGGACACGCCATTAGGACTAGAAGGAAGAAAAGGCGGAGGGTCGAGAGAGGAGGCGACAAGCGGCTCTCGCCTTTACGAGTCGGGGTGAAGAGGAAAGAAGAAGGCAAAAAAGAAGAGGCGAAAGAGGAGGGATCGCGAGAGCAGGACGGGCAGGGCAGCTGTTGCTCCTTCTAGTACGATCGTCTACTGGCTGGGAGCTTTAGCCCACAGCGGAGCGCAAGAGGGCTCAGCAGGCCTGCAATAACGAGCTGGATAGCGGCCGACAGGGGTCTTCCCCAGCTGCTTGTAGCTAGCCCGTAGCGGTCGGGACGGCCAAAGCCACTAAGACAAGCTCCATCTGTCCAAGCTCCAGCTTCTGTGCGGCGCTGATTCCC